CTCATGTACTATATGCTTAATTTTAATTTTTACTACCCAAAAACCGGTAGCACCGGGTATCAGATGATGCTAGTTGCACACCCCTGGAACTGCCACGCAATGGTTAGCAAATTACAACGAACTCGTTGGTGTATAAATATTGAACTCGCTGGTTTTGTTTTTTGTACTTTCAATTTCGAAAGATGAATGTAAAAGTTAAACTGACCGGTCAATAACTTCTGGATTTTTATGACGTCCGAAAAAAAAGTTTGGGTCGGCCATGAAAATTAGGGTCGGTCGGGTAACCGTAAACAAACATAATTTTTTGTTACGCCTAATTCCGGTTCTTTCAAACGCGCAACTGACGTTTTGAGAATTCTACGGTGAACCGTACGCGCATAATTTCCACGCATGTGGCATTACCGTTGTGTTACCCGTTGTCACGTGTGTTGCTAAGGCTCAGGGTAATCGAACGGATTGTTACCTGCGTCTAAACCAATCAGATTTTAGTATTTAACATGAAAGTATAATAATATATAATAATGTGTAACTCAATACCACAATCCAATAGACATCAAATCAAGTAAAACAGAGGACACTTACATCTGACTGTCGAGCGAGGGGATTCAATCTCACAAATATAGGACTCTCATTGATCTGACAGATCTGTGAATAAAAAATTGTCATCTTAAAATTCTGGCAGACATGATAAGGAACTTCATAGATTGCATATTTTAATCCTTAAAAATGGATTGAATGTCCTAAAAAGATTCCTCAGTGATTTTCTATGCTAAAGAATAATAAATTCTTAATCTATTAATGGTTTCTTTACTTTGATTTAATTTTTATTTCAAATTTCTTATTTTATATCATCAACCTTGACCTATGACCTCTCACCTGTTTGTGAATTTTTATGTCAGAGAAAGTGGGCGTGTCTCCAGTTGAGTACCAGCCGAGGAAATCCATGTCACTGAACACCTGTTTAACTGTGAATGAAATATATATTACAGTGGCTATATCATTAGGAATTCCATTGTTACTGCGAAATAAGTGTTGCACTTAATATTGTTTTTATCACTGTTCATGTTGTGTGATTTTCTGAGTGAGTGTTGTGCATGTTATGAAATAAAATATTACTGTATATACCCGCCTGTAAGTCAGTCTGCCTATAAGTCGGTTGTATTTTTGAAGCTTATATTAGAGGGATTAGAGGGATTAACCATCTAAAATACCAGCCTTTTTTATAACTCGCCTGTAAGTCTGACATAGAGTTTTGGACCAAAGTTTACCTCCTAAAAATCCAACTTATACTTATAGGCAAGTTTATACGGTATACTGTTTGATGATGTGTGAGCCAGTTGTGTGTGTTGTACATACACTGTTCCTCCTTTGTGTTGTAGTACTCCATGTTCAGGATTATCTCCCCTTCTATCAAATCAAACAGCAGCTCAAACGAGTTCATCACCTCAATGTTCCGTCCCTTTTGTTTACCGATCACTGCACCTAGAACTACAACAGATGTATGTCCTTGCATTATAGAGTTAACACTGCTAACAGATATAAATGTACATAAGTAAACTCATTTAAGTTTTTAATTACCATGAATTATTTATACATGTAAAAGGATACAAGTAATAGTATCACTATGGGTTTGGCATATTATGCCCATTCTAACTAAATAAGTAATTGAAATAAGATTTTTTAAGCTATGCGATCTACCTTGAAACATTTTCTACATCTTATTTACACCTGAATTACCTTGGGTTGGTTTGCCTTCTTGTGCTCGCACACGAGTCCAGTGTTCTGATATGTTCATGATGACCAATGGGTGCAGCGATACAGACACGCTCCCGGGGCAACTTGTGGACGCCATCACGCCTCCACTTGGTCCGTCCACTTCCATTTTACCGGCCATTTCTCAGCAGAAGATGGCAAACGCTCCCTACTCAGGTAAACGCTCGACAACAGTCTATTTTTCAGCGAGTACTTAAATATATATTTTGAGTATTTCACTTTTTCGTTGTTTTCCAGTGTTCTGTATTTTTCGAATCTCGATCCCGATCTGAAATAGCTGTGCGGGAACTAGAGATGTCGGACTATAACTTACTCGGACAATTCGGACCTCGACATTTGCACATTAATAGACAGCTTATCGACTTATATTTGATAAGAAAAAAAATCAACGAAATTGTATGTTAAAGATGATTAAAATTATAACAAATGTAAAACAAATGAAAAAGTTTAGGTTTTTTTTTTAATTGAGAAAAAAAAAATCGCACCACCTGTGATTTTTTTTTTTAATTTTCATTTCAAAATTATTGAATAATCCAATAATTCTCATTATAATTATTATAATGTACTTGTACAGTGTATGCTATTCTTTCTACAATACTCCCGTTCTTTCAACACTATGGATCCTGCATTAGTGCCCCAATCACGGAGCCTAAATAACCTTATAAGTAGCTATAGGACCTGATGCCATAACCGATACCCTACATGTTACTGTGAACTAAATGCCCTAAAAGGCGCCCTTCATGTACATGTAACTATGGAACTAAATACCCTAACAGGTGCCCAACATGTAACTTATTATGGAACTTAATGCCCGAACAGGTGCCCAACATGTAACTTATTATGGAACTAAATACCGTAACAGGTGCCATAACATATGTAACCATGGAGCTAAATGTTCGAACATGTGCCATAACATGTACAATGTAACATGGAACCTTACATGTATGCTTATGTTCTATACGTTTAAAAAATTGTTTCTCATCGGTTTTGACTTATTATAATTATAAATTCTAAATCTTTTTTGTAATGTTAATTACAATATTGGCATTTCAAAATGTTTCAGTTCGTATTGTTTGAAAGTTCCACTTGCATTAGAAATTACTTACATTCTAATGGAATATGTTAATTTCCCATGTGACGATAAATCAAAATTTGTATCATGTTAAGTTCTACATGTACATCTCCTTAATAAGTTAAAATTACCTTGACCTCTGACTCGATTCTGACACACCAACAGACATAAGGGTCATGTACAGATCTCGGTTTGAGTTTAAAATTCAGTGTCATTTTATTTTGGACATAAAGAAATCCGAGGTAGACGGACCTAACAGTCGAACGGACAACTTCGGAATGGACATTCTTCCGAACTTGCGCACCCTTTTCCTTTAAAGCTATCCTCTTGGTATTTTTTGAAATGGTGGGGTTTTTCTACCTAAATGCATTTCTGAAATTAAAAAAATGCAACATTTTCTGCTAGATTTTGAGATATTTAGTGACGAAAATAAAAACCCCATGGGGAAACATGTACTTAAAATTACCCCATGGAAAACCCCACACAAACCCCATGGGATTTAAAATTTATCCAATGGCGGAAATATACCCATAAAAATCAATGTAGGTTTTTTAAACCCATATGTTGCTTATATTGTCACGTGGTTTTTTTTCTCCCACGTTTCTTAATCATGGGGTTTAAAAACCCACATATTGATATTTTTACTGTCAGATAATTCCTAAAAACTTGGGTTTTTTCTTAGAGTAATGGATCATTAGTATCTTCTCTGTTTGTCATTCTATAAAAGTGGATAGTTATTATTAACATTATTTTTTCAAATTTTCAAGTATATTCATTCTTCAAATTTTTACTTATGTAAAAGAAGATTTATATGAAAACGGGTTTCTAAAGCAGTTGCCTCCCATAATGAAACATGAAGTATAAATACCACAGGTACTTGCGGACAGGACACCCACCCGCCCCTCCCCGAGTATACACCTCGGTCGGAAATTTTTTCCTACATATATTATTCTTCTAGTACATATTTACAATGTATTCCATATGAAAAATCCAAAATTATCGTTTTGTTAAAAGTCATATCCGCGATATTATAAAAGAGAGTATACTCAGGGGTGGGTGGGGGTTCCTGTATATAGGTACCTGTGATAAATACGTCCTAGGTAGAGCCTTACGCCACTCACTGGATCCGCCCATAGTGCATCATCGCACTTATGAGCACTCGTAAAGTTTTTGATAAGTAAGATATTAATGTCAAGCGATTAGGCTATCGAACTCCAAAGTGTACATGAGCAAGCAAAACGGTAATTTAACAATTCTAGCGTAAATAAATCCGACGAAATAGTTGTTTGCTTTCATGATTCCCCGGTTAAAGTTCTTTTCAAATATCCCACTTACTGAGTAGTGTAGCAAAGTTTCATTCCCCCTTTTGTGTTGAGAAGCGATTTGTCAATATTTATACGTTAAATGAGCATTAATTTGACAAATGAAGACCCGACCTGGTATTGATTTTATAAATTATAAGATAAATGTTAGTTCACTGCAGAGAGATGTCTTTCTACCACTAAACCCTTTCTGCGTTTTCATTTTTTTTTTTTTTGACGATTGATAAATTGTGGGGGATAAGGATTTCCCCCCATGAAAGATTAGAAAGTCCTTATGGTGAGAAAAGACGGGACGAAAAGAAAGGTAAGCAGAATTATATATGCTCTATATAAAGTAAAACCACAGGCACTTGGGACTGAAACCCACCACCCCCACTTTTCATTTTTTTTTTCTTTTTACACCTGAGGTCTTTTCTCCCATTTTATATATATGCACTACCTGATATCAATATTGTAACCCTTTTGTCTCAATAAGCTATTTTTATTAATTAAATACATTGTTTTCGACTGATGCATAAAAAAGATAGCTTACGGAGACAAAGGGGTAACATTATCGATATCAGGTATATAGCATACAAGAATATATAAGAATATAAGCAAGTCTGAGAGAGAGAGGCCGGGAGAGAGAGAGAGGCCGGGAGAGAGAGAGAAGGGGTGGGAGAGAAGGAGAGAGATAAAGAGACAAAGAGAGAGAGAGAGAGAGAGATTTAAACTCAAATGACAATTTTACTATAGCAAGCTATAACTTATCTTTCAAAGTTCAAAGTTTTTAAAAGGGATTTTGATTAAGTTATGCGGAAGTGGAATTTAGAGCATGTGCATAATTTATTTCTTTTTTGTCAGGATAGCATACATATTTTCTGTATCTTAACTACTTACACACAGAAGAAAAAAATCATTGAATAATTTTATGGACTGCATGTTATCACAAAATAAGGTACGTGTATCGTTAAAATCTCCCCCTCCCTCTTCATACAACAATCTCTCCTCTCTCTCTCTCTCAGGGAAAATGCATACACGCGTGTACATTCAGTATCATTTGTATACATTCAGGAAATGATATATACACTGTAGAGTCAGAATGTCCCAAAAAAACATGTCTATAAAACCCTGTCAACTTTTTTATAACATTATTGAATCTATGAAAAAATACCACATGCTTACTGATCTTGTTAAGTTGGAAGCTTTGGAAGTTTTAGAGCAAGTTTCTTTTTCATCATTTACTTAAGCTTTAATTTGGTCGATACGGTTTGGGGTATTGGGGCGGAGGGGGGGGGGGGAGTAAATATTAATTCCTTTTCGCCATGGAAATATATTGTAAAGTTACTAGTGCGGACTAAGACAAGAAAATGACCACAATTTCTAGGGAGTTCATCTATTAACATGATTAAAGCTTACTTGCAACTTAAAAATGAAATTATTGTATCCAATAAGGAATAAGACCACTAAATCATATGGCATCCGTTGCCTCTTCGACTATAAGTATACACGAACAATCTTTTTATGTGTTCTTTCAACAACAACAACAACTCCGCAGCACTTCAATCATAAACCATTTGTAATGTTTGTAAGCTTTTTTTTTTTTTACCTCGGATTTCTTAAATCAAAACTCGCGTGAACGATCCCTCTTCAATTTAAACACGCTTCTGTTTTGTATTAGAAAAAGAGATTATTGGGGCTTTAGCCAGGGATCAATCACCAATAATTGAATCTTGATCCCGTATCCAGCCGAGAAATTTATGATAAACTCTGGCAATTTCAAAGAAAAAATCTTGACGACTAAAATCTTTCTCAGCGGAAAAGGTTTTACATGTTACAATTACCCGCGATGGTTTTTAAATTTAATTCTTCTCTGGAAAATAAGATATATTTTATTTATCCCCCCAAGAGAGAAAAATAAAACTACGCTATTAAATATTTTTGAATATATCGGCCACCTCACTTCAGAAAATTATTACAATCCTTGAGGCTGTTGTTAACTTTATATTTTTTCCCACCATATACATGTGCCTTTATTTGAGTAAGTTTTTAATTTTTTATTATAGTTTTGGTTTATTATTTACAGTTAGTAATGGGAGAAGCTTAATTAGAAATATACATGTATGTCAGTTTTTTAATTAAAATCACGATGGGGATAAAGAAGGTACACAGTACAAATGTAAAAAGTTTATTTAAAAAAAAGATGAAACAACAAAAAAATAAAAAAATTCTTAATAATTCTTTTTCAGCTGATTCAAGGATGTGTTTTCATATTGATTTAACATTCTACAACTGCGGACATCAGCTGCGCATGCTCAACTGAATTTCCCATCGGACGAAATAATGAAACGCCAATTTCTAATCCTGCAGATTCTTCTTAATTAAACTCCACACTAGAATTGAACGCAGCAATTTATTTTATAACGAAGAGATAACAAATGTTAAACTGATGAATAACATCTTCATTATCAATGCTCGACTTTGTCTCCTTGTTTATATGCGTCGTCTTCAGAGATAACACGGAGACTAATCGGACAGCGACCAGCGCAAACGGAGACATCTCCCACCGCAGAAACATTAAAGGTAGTTAGGCGAAATCACGGATAATTAAACATTGTAGGCCTGTCCAAATTAAGGGAAAAAATTTCCAGTCATTTAGTTGTGTGTGTGATCCATTCGAATACGTGGACGCTATAAAATGTCTTCGCAACAGGACAAAGAGTAACCACTTGGAAACTTGTAACAATTTTGGAAACTTCGAGGGTCTCCAAAAAGAGGCTTTTGTGCAGTATTCCACAAAACATCGAGAGAAAAAACATGTATAGCGATCGCTGGGCCCCTCCGTCAAAGGAGAACGAAAACGAGGCTCTGTGTCTGCTACACGGAGATCAGCAACTCACTATGTTCTGTCGTGAATGTGAAATACTCACTTGTAAAATTTGCTGGAAAGAGAAACATTGCGGCCATGAGCACACGGACCCGAAGAAAAAAGCCGATGAACTCCGAATTCAGCTGGCGCAGAGGGTCAATTTTGCTCGAAAGACAACCTTACCCAATCTGAGGAAAATGGCTGAAGAGATCCGAATAAATCGAGAGGAATATATGAAACATGGTGCGTATTTGCGACTAGAAATTACAGATAGAACAAAACATTTAAAATCACAACTAGATTTAATATGTGAAGCGATTTTATCCGATTTAAATGAACGAGAGGATGCCGATATGAAGTCGCTAGAGAAATCAGCCACAGCTGTAAGGGACGAACTGGAACACACAGCTGATCTATTGACTGCTTCTGACTTAGAAATCAAAAGTAAAAAAGACGAACTTTTTATAATGTTTGCTCAGGAGGCCATCTCTAAGTTAACCAGCGTACAACCTACCAAGTCATTTAAGCCGATTTGTCCTCCTACTTTCGTTTCAAGTGATTCTATTAATAGAAGTGCAATCGAGAAACTTTACGGGTATCTACAACAGGAGAATTCAACAACTTATCAGGAGAAGGAGAAAAATTTTCAGAATTTGCAACTTCCGGCCAGTCACGTCAAAGTAGTCATTGGTCACGTGACAAATTTGACACTGGCGAATAATGATGCAGCATATTGCATTCGAACACTTCCAAACGGTCACGCGTGGGTTGGCACAGGTGCACAGTCGGTAAGATTAGTGGACGCTAAGGGGGAGGTACTAAATGAAGTATTTTTAGATTTTTATCCGTATAATCTTGCAATACTCAACGACACACTACTTCTTTCTAATGGACAATTAATCAAAGCAATAAGAAATGGTGAAATATCCGACTTTTTTAACGCTGCACCATTTTACTCTCAGGGAATATGCAAAACAAACGAAAACGAAATCCTCATATGCCTGGCAAAAAGGGATGAAGGGAAAATTCTTCGCTTGAATAGCTGTGGAAAATCATTGCAAAAAATTCAATTCGATGCCAGTGGAAAACCTTTGTTTCGAAGTCCGACAAAAGTTTCCGAGAGTTCGCGTAACGGTGATATCTCTGTGTCGGACTCTGCCGAAAACAGCGTCATAGTTGTAGATAAATCCGGATGTCTACGATTCGTTTACCGTGGGTTGGAGGGCGACACGTTTTCGCCATTTTACGTCACTTACGATTCCTTCGGAAACCTCCTCATTGGCGACAACAGTCATTTCCGGATTCATCTCGTGGACAAAGATGGTTTCTTCCTGCAATATATACTCACGCTGGAGGACGGTCTCTACTCACCCTGGGGACTCGACGTGGACGAGAAAAAGAATCTGTGGGTGGGGACATTGTCCAGTAAAATCTGGATCGTGGAATACATAGGCTCATAATAAAGTCTGGATCGTGGAGTACATCGGTTCATAGTAAAGTCTGGATCGTGGAATACATCGGTTCATAGTAAAATCTGGATCGTGGAATACATCGGTTCATAGATAAAACTGGATCGTGGAAAACATCGGTTCATAGTAAAATCTGGATCGTGGGATACATCGGTTCATTGTAAAATATGGATCATCGAATACATCGGTTCATAGTAAAATCTGGATTGTGGAATACATAGGTTCATAGTAAAGACTAGATTGTGGAATACATCGGTTCATAGTAAAGTCTGGATTGTGGAATACATCGGTTCATAGTAAAAACTGGATCGTGAAATGCTGGATTTTAATCGAAAGACAATACATGTAGGTTCAAAGGCTTAAAGTGGTATAAATCTATATATGTTCATATTAAAATTGGGATCGTGGAATGCATCGGTTCATATCCTTGTCGAATTGTAGAATAATCAGTTTTCTATGAATAAAAAAGCAAAATTTGGATGATACGAGTATTAGAAAGTGTAAATTGTTGATGCAGCAGATGCATGGTGGATTCATCAATTGGTAAAGCCCATGCATTCCTCCTTATATAGATACAGATTAAATTTTGAATAAATGTGTTCAATGATCTTTGGTCGTCTTTTAATGGCGCATCACACGGCACAACAATCTTTCGGACTGATTATAAATAATTTGACTATTGAACTTTGGATGGACCCCACTACGGATAATATAACATCCGTAACAAAAAAATATTTGTATGATTTAGACATTTCCATGGTGCATGTTATCAAAGACAATAAGCTTTAATTGTTGATAAGAGTAAAAAAATTTTTTTTTGTTTATTCCGAATTGACGAATGCCACAAGAAGAAATACCACATTAATCAGCAAGACTTTTTTCTCTGAAACTTAAATTTCACAGGACTGGCTTTATAGGAAGAAAAAGAACCTTTGGCGAATTATTTTTTGTCATTATGGACCGTATTCTATCATGTAGAAAGGATGAATGTTTATAACTACTGACATCTTCGAAAAAAAAAGTGTGTCTGTATTTCACAAGTAAAATTGCTCTTATTTTTTTTAAAAAGTAAAACGTTTGTAGTACTAAAATCAATATATTTTCGTATGTAAAACACTCTTTAACCAGAAGTCTCTGTCGAGACTGAAGCTCTACTGGTTCGTACTTATAGCAAAGGAAGAGAAAATTACTTAAGCAGTTGGAAATTGAAACTTTTCAACAGCAATAAATAGAATAATGATCCTTGATTAAGTCTCTTTATGTTCTTAGTGCAGTCTACTTGCATGCCACATTTATATTATAATCAGACTAAAATTGTATTTGGAGTAGCATTTTGAAAGAATTTCACAGAAATTTCTATTTTTAGTAACCACGGCAACACCATTCATCGAAATCATAAACCGATATATAGAATTATGTATCTTATTGTAGTCTTCTTGTGTGCCAAGTTATATAAATCAGACTAAAACTGTAGAAGGAGTAGCATTTTGAAAGAATTTCACAGAAATTTCTATTTTTAGTAACCACGGCAACACCGTTCATCGAAATCAAAAACCGATACACAGAATTATGTATCTTAGTGTAGTCTACTTGTGTGCCAAGTTATATTGAAATCAGACTAAAACTGTAGAAGGAGTAGCATTTTGAAAGAATTTCACAGAAATTTCTATTTTTAGTAACCACGGCAACACCGTTTATCGAAATCAAAAACTGATATACAGAATTATGTATCTTATTGTAGTCTTCTTGTGTGCCAAGTTATATTGAAATCAGACTAAAACTGTAGAATGAGTAGCATTTTGAAAGAATTTCACAGAAATTTCTATTTTTAGTAACCACGGCAACACCGTTCATCAAAATCAAAAACCGATACACAGAATTGTGTATCTTAGTGTAGTCTACTTGTGTGCCAAGTTATATTGAAATCAGACTAAAACTGTAGGAGGAGTAGCATTTTGAAAGAATTTCACAGAAATTTCTATTTTTAGTAACCACGGCAACACCGTTCATCGAAATCATAAACCGATACACATAATTGTGTATCTTAGTGTAGTCTACTTGTGTGCCAAGTTATATTGAAATCAGACTAAAACTGTAGGAGGAGTAGCATTTTGAAAGAATTTCACAGAAATTTCTATTTTTAGTAACCACGGCAACACCGTTCATCAAAATCAAAAACCGATACACAGAATTGTGTATCTTAGTGTAGTCTACTTGTGTGCCAAGTTATATTGAAATCAGACCAAAACTGTAGGAGGAGTAGCATTTTGAAAAATTGTTTACAGACAGACGGACGACGGACGCATTACTATCGCATAAGCTCTTCTGGTCTCTGACCAGTAGAGCTAATAAAAATTAACCCCTGGAGGTCCAAGATTATTCTTTAATACAGGTGTAATTTGTATATGAATTGTTGTTGCTCTGAGACATTACGTATATAGGACTTTTATATTATATTGATAAATCTAATGTAATGTCTACACATGCGGTGGGATTTCAGAGATAACCCTGTTTTAAGTGCAATCACATCAAGCTGATCTAACACCCCACAATTATCTCTAGCCAGGTACATCGGTGCATATCTATCGTTTAATGTACCGTTTATAAAGTTTATTCAGTGATTAAGAGGATGCTTGGGTAATATCTTATTGCGTAAAAAAAAAATAAAATGTCAAAAAAAAAAAAAGGATTGAAGTACTACTGTATGTGCAGAAAATACTCGATCTCTCAAAATGCATGGCTCCACCATGTGTTTTAAACACAGTAAATACTTCTTTGTCTGTAGAGAAAAGAACAATATAAAATAAATTACGTTGTAGATAATGTACTAACCTTTATTGAAAAAAAAAAAAAAAATCAAAATTACATGATTTAGCTAGAAATATATCATAATGCATCATTTTATGTATTAACAATTTGAGGAGTTAAATCGAAACAAAAGTATGGAATAAACAACTTTGTCACTAAACTGAAGCAAAATGCATTTTTAAAGGGGATAAATAAATATTTATCTAAAGTAAGAAAATGTATCACATTGAAATTCAAATAATTCCCTCGTAAATGCCCGTCACTCATGAACTTTGCTTCAAACTCTTGTAAATTCCTATTCCGGATCTAGCATTTCCTTCAGAACTTGGTAAACTTTTCCGTCTTAGTCTCTTCCTTCACTGCGACCTCTATCGTCTGGATTTGATCCTCCAAATTCTTACCCCTCGTCTCCGGAAATAGAAGGGAGATAACTGCAGATAAAAGCATCGATCCTCCGAACAGAAAATACAACAGCCCGGGAATGGTTGTGTTCTAGAAGGGGTAAGGAAAATATTAAACCTTTGCATGGTATGTCTCAAATAGAAAAAGAAACACAAAGTAGTCATGCAAACAAAAATAACGTGTTTCATGTGCATAAACTGATATAATCCAAGTGAACATTTTATCCTACTCACCATGTGAACATATTGTTTTTCTAACTATAACCAGTGAACTCGGTAGCCTACTTTACTAAGTTCATGAGAAAGTTGTTCTACTCACCACGTGAACAAGTTGAGGGGCTACCATTGCTCCAACACGTGACACAGAGCTGAGAAATCCGTAAGAAATATTTCTACAATGTAGAACAAAATTTTTGTTCGGTTAATTATACCTCTAGACAACGAACTACTAATATCCACAAACCTTCCAGCATCTATAACTTAATATTAAAATAGGAAGGGGGCTAAATTAAATTTTCACAAATGTTTATTTGCCTTTTTGTCTGACTGTCTGTTCATAGTCAAATGTTCTGTGTGAACCGATGTCGATTCAATTTTAAGATCAAAGTTTACCTTGCAAAGTAGAAAAATTACGTTAGATTAGTATTTAGATACGTTCAGCTAAAAGGAAAACATAATCCCCCCTTTGACTACTAGCAGTTGAATACAATACCGGTATATTGAAGAAGCGGTCAATATGCATACTTGTATCTCAGTTGGTAGATCGTCGCTCCTCCGTGATCGGAAGGTCGTGAGTTCGAATCTCGGCTGCAGCTGACCTTAGTCGATAAAAATTAGGCAACTGTTCCTTAGCCGTGCACTCAAAACTTTGAAGTGAAAGTTTTGGGTCATTCGGAATAGCACTCGCCACTGAGACGATAACAATCCGTCATTGATCAATGGCCATGAGTGCCAAGAAAAGGTCTAAATTTGAAATCCTTGATCAGTATAGGGTGACGTCTCTATATGATTGAAGTATTCTCGATTGGGACTTAAAACATAACATACAATCAACCAATCAATTCATTCAAAAATTAAAAACTTAAGTACAGACCTGTTATGATTGTTATTTGGGCAAAAATATACCCAGCTTATCCACCGGGACAAACGCTAATTACCTGATAACTGTAGGGTACAGTTCTGTTGTGAACGTCATCAGGGCCGGCCACGCTGCGGATACTCCCAACTTAGCCGCCAGAGCAAACCCATTGATCAACCCCGCCTTTTCAGGGACATCTGGAACAATGCCAAAAAGTATTCAGAGGAGTCCACTTGGAGGAAACTCAAAAGGAAAGACATGTACCTAATTTCTATATCTAGTGAATCACAAAAGTTTTTATTGCTTTTAAAGGCAAGTAATAAGTTAGACATACTTACTCACCTACCACTTGTAAAATGGCTACGATAAGCCCTGCCACTGCCGCTATCATGAACAACATAAAACACGTCCATCGACGACCGATTCTGTCAAAATCCCAGACCAACTGTATGTAAACGATCGTAATTTAAGATGGAATGCAACTTTTATGTTATTCAATATATTCTTGCAAACAATTGATTGGTGAGTATAATTATCATTGAGGGGGTGGTGTTTTATATGTATTTTTTTTTTTTTACAAATGAATACTGACTGTGGGGTGTCATTTGAGAGATTAATATTATTTATGGATTTCTTTGGACACCTGTCCCCACAAAGCTACATCCTCATGCTTTTCTGAAGATTAAAAAGATACGTGAACAATTTGACACCGAAAAAGGATAGCGACATGTGACCTGTTGGTTGCCCGCGTGTCGCAGTGGTTAGACGTCTGCTCTAGAATAGCGAAGTAAGGAGTTGATCCCTACGTCGCGGGTTCGAATCCCGAAGTGGGATGTGGAGACAGGTCCTTCGGATGAGACCGTATTATCTGAGGTCCCCTGTTGCAGTAGCTGCTGACACGGAAAAGATCCCTCCCTGCTCAATGGCCCTGAGTGCCGAGTATAGAACAAAATTTGCAGCTCTCTACCAGCAAGTGGTGTCGTCTCCATTTGAGTGAAAAATTCTCGAGAGGGAAGTTAAACAATATACAATCAATTAATCAATCTGACCTGTTGTTGAAGTACCAGGAGCTGAGTGTCCCTGGGATCTCCACAAGACTCAGGAGAAACATGTTAAGGTAGAGGCTTCCCGATAACTGGTCCACGGCAAAGGTAATGGCGTAGTATGAATATCCACAGGACAACCTATTTAATGTATCATAAAGGTGATAAAAGGACAACCTTTAAAGGTGGAAAAAGAATATCCTTAAAAAGACCTATATGTTATGTATGCTATATACGTGTAACTGTGGATTAGGCCTATCCACAAGAAAAAAGCGGTATCTTTGTTATATGTATGCACATGTTAGTGTATAAGGATTATACACAAAATAACCTTCCCAAAATTTTTGTACATGTGGATTTGGATTATCCAAGAGAGCTCAAATAGTCAATGCAAGACCTATTAAGTTTTAAATCGCAAAAATGAACAAACTTGTTTATATAATAAATTCATAATCAATTTATGTATGATTAAGCGTGCTTGCAGCAGTTGTAATTTACTGTACATACCAACAAAACACTAAAAGACAGGATGTTTTAAGGAAGCTCCTGTGAAGGAACATGTCAATAATTGTAAACTTCCGGTCAGAGTCCTTTGATGACTCATTAACAACATCCTGTAGTGACGTCAGATCGGGCACCTGTCTGCCATTAGTTCTGGCCACTTTCTTTATCACACTGACAGCTCTGTCCAGTTTGTGCCGAGAAGCTAGCCATCGGAAACTCTCTGGAATAATGCTGTAAGAAAGACAAAAATATTTGAATTAGGCCCCTAAATCTTCGGATATATTAAAAAAAAGTACTCGCTGCACCGTATTAGTCTTTAACCTTAAAGCTGAACACGATTCGTAAAAGCAATGTGTCCGCAAACTTTGTTCGGATTCTCGCTATATCCGCAGACCCCTATATATAGGGCAGGACTTTGTTACTGTTCATTGTAATCAGTCGACACCAGTGTAGACGGACATATGCTATACAACACTCAGTAGCGACAATAATAGCGTAATACTTCGTCTAATGCAGGAAAGTAAGATACCAAAGAAACTTACAATTATAGTTGAACAGGTCAGTATACAAACATAGATACATGTAAATGCATGAAAATGTTAGCAAAAGTAATGCAAGATAACCAGCACGAACACGGGTCGCCCTTCCACGCCGATACCCGTGACAATAAAGCAGTCAGGTGTGACAAATCTGAAGAGCATATCCTGATGTTGATGTATCTTAGATAATTATATCGATAATGGCGTATGCCTATTTACGAGTCGTGTTCAGCTTTAATATTTTTCAAAAGTTAAAAAATGTACACACTCACAAAATACTAAGTAGTGTAATAGAAGTGACGATAGACGTTGCGTAATGGAGGTTCTTCCAATCTCGGAGCCACCAGGACATAAAACCGAACACGGCCGCAAAAACCGGAAATGCAGGAAAAGCGGTGATCATTGGACGATACTTCTTGGGAATAAACTCTATCATGTAAATATACATCGTTGCTAGGTATATTCCACTGCCGAGCCCTATCAAAAATCGCATCACAGCAAACATTTCCCAGGAAATCGAAAAAGCTGCCACTAAATTCGATACTACCATTATGATCAGGGACAGGGCAAAAGTGGGTTTTCTTCCGAAGGTGTCCGAGAGTTGACCCGCCAAAAGACCACTCACTAGCAGCCCCGCCATCTGGATCGTTGTAATAAGGGACGTCACCCAGTCGTTATCACAGATCAACTCCCACTGATGAAGACAAACAAATATGTAAATACTGAGTAGTTGTTACAGATCTAATTATAATGTTCCGAACCTACTTGGAGTTCAGTGGCGGATCCATGAATTTTAAAAATGGATATGTAGTTCAATGATGAATTTTGACAAGCCAAAAAAAAAAAAAAAGAAATCTCAAATGTAAACGTAACCAAATGATAATCTGGCTATGTTTTGCTTGAGAAAAAACAGACCCCAACTTCGCAAACTTAAATCTCATCGCTCAAATTGTATAGGCAAATATTCAGTGGAAGTATTTTCATTTACGTATAAAGCTATAAAAATATTACCTCATTAACAGCTGTGTTCATGTCAGTAGAAAATCGGAAGTTGGAACAAAAAGAAAAACTGGATTCATTCTGAGGAGGTGAGCACACTTTGTAAGATTCAAAAGAGGAGCTGTGATTGGTGTATTTTAAAGAAAACAACGTTTGATTGGACCATTGACACCACCAATCAGGAATAGCCCCGCCAAACTGCATCATCAGAATTCCCCACGCGCAGGCCACTTTGCTGAGCATGGCGAGGGACACCACTGTCCATTGGAACCTCCCAAATCCTCCACATTTATCTATGACGTCTTCAAGTAGCACATTCAGTGACGTCATTTTCTCTTAAAAATTTAAAATTAATGTTAAGAATTGTTGACGCTTAACAGACAGAGATCAGTGTATAAGGCCGAGTTCATTACCTAACAATTATATGTTGCTATCTGTGATAAATGAAAATCGAATTCAATTGCTGTGTAATAGTGTTAAAATACTTTTATTTTTTGACAAAAAGTTTGAAAAAAATAATTTCACAAAAGGAGTTGGGCATTTCTTCCGATAAAGGTACCCCGTATTTTATTAAACTGACGAGGCAATGGAGAGTGTACCAGGAATGTCTAGAGATAATAAGTACAAACTAAAATCAAAATCAGTGGAAAGTTTCTGACAACGTCAAGTTCTATAATTAGATATGTTATACAATAGGAAATATTACTGTATTCTGTGATGACTTACCTGAAATTAATTTTGTCGATTCTAAATTTGGTGCTGTTAATTCACCTAATTGACTGCTGTAACTTGAATAAATTGTACATAAAATCAGGAGGGAACAGCACTGGACATTAAGAATCCTTATTCCAAAGATAACCAGGGTATTCTATTTCAGGTACGGAAGCTCGGTGCTGTATGAAATGAAGGTCACATTGCAAAGACCGAATTTGCTGTCATTTACGATAAGCCAGGAAAGTCAAATTCTGATATAAGTAGATGGCTCCTAAATGCGAAAAATAGTCTTTGTCCTAACCAGAGGCAACAAAACACTTTTATTTTTGATAACTTAGTGTATACATGTATCAGTGACGTAGCATCGTTTTTGAAAGTTGGGGGGGGGGGGGCAGCCAGAGAATATTTTTTACTAACCTGAAAAAAGTTGACAAGCAAAAAAAAAAAAAAAGACAAAAAAACAAAAAAACAAAAAAAAAAAAAAAAAAAAAAGAAAGAAAAATTGCCCAAACACGAAAAACCTATTTCTTGTGTGTGTGTGTGTGTGTGTGTGTGTGTGTGTGTGTTTGGGGGGGGGGGTTGTTAGAGGCCAACTTCTTCCAAGTTTTTGCACACAATACTATAATTTCATGATATCATTTTACTATTTACTATATTTAACAGGGGGGGGCAACAATTTTAATGAATATTTTCAATAGTAAAAGTAATGTTGGGGAAAAAAAGGTGGGGGGGGCACCCCCCATCCCTGTTGCTACGTGTCTGGTATCTAAGGATTAAATGATTCCAGCGAAATCAGTTTCTGTGTTCAGGGAAAAAGGATAACACTCCTTTCCCATTTACAGAACCAAATTCTTCTTGAAAAACATCAAATAATTCGTGTAATTATATGTGGTTTTATCCAGGCGCGAATCCAGTGACGAATGGGGTTTGCAGCTACCCTTGGATAATATCCTGGATCATTGATCCGTTGGCTCATATTTTAAAGTTTCATTTGGTACTTTGAAACATAAAAAATATAACTTGTAATGATTTTCTTAACTGCATGTTCCGTTAGGTTTGGGTTTCCGTTCTGACAGTAAAGTTAGTACAGACCAGAGATAAGGAATGGACAAGATATTCCTCCATGTTTGTTTTTTTCTTGACCGTTGTTAGTAAGTAAACAATGGAATGTTTATTGAATGCGTTTAAATTTGGGGTCGAATTCTTCCGTTCCCAGTTTGTTCTTTCGTATTTCATGTACAGGAACTTATTCACCGAATTTTGTTAAGATTCCCTCCTTGAAGGAGTTTTTTTAAAACATGAGAAATCAAATAAAATCCTATGATTATTATGTTTTTCTTCTTTTTTCTGTCCATAAATTGACACGGGTATTAAATAGATAAAAATTTTATTGAGATATACAAAACAACGTTTGAAAAATATTAACACGAGTGATCTAAAATGATATGAATGCTAGAAACAACAAAAGTTTTTGACATCCGTCAGCCTACTAAGACATGTCATTTCTTCCTGTAGTGGGACAGCTTTCTTCCATCTGGCGTTTAATTCCTCTAGCTCTTAGTTCTTGTCTTCCGGGAAAATGTCAGGTTTCACCCAAAATATTTTTAATCTGTTAGTTTCCGGGAATAAAATTAGTTTCTTCCGTTGATAGTAGTATATTTTTCTTGGTAAATTAACAAGAAAGTTGTCGCCTATAATGAATGAAACATATGGAGATAACGTACAGTATTCGAGATCAAAAGTCCATAAAACAACAAAAAATAAGAGCAGAGCAAACACGGACCTCCAAAACATCAGAGGTGGTGCCATGGAGGAGTGAGCATCCCATGCCGACCGGTCTTTCATAACTGTACGTACATGTACATATATCCCTCACTTCGTTCGTCCGAATATAAATTAATTCTATTCTAAGTAATAACAAGAAAAAGACCAAGTTAAGAGTGCTACTCGCTATAACCTCGAGACAAAGGGAAAGTCATGTTTTTATGAAAGGTGTGATCATTTATTTATTTTAATCACATACATGTATATTTACACAGTATACATTAATAAACACTGTATTCCCAAATTTAGAGATACAGAAGTTTGTGTTTTAACACTATCCTTAATATATTCGTCTTTGGCAAAATCGGTACGCCATCTGCCGTGCTCTTTTATCAACCCCCACTCCTCAAACTGTGTAAACAAAATGCTTTACTGTCCAAGCCAATCTGTGATAATGCTTCTAGAAAAATTTCCCTGGCTCTGGTATACGACAATGGACGATTTTAAGAAACTAACTTGTACTTTTCTTGTGATTTAAAATATCTGACAGATCTAAAAACGTATTCATTAGAATCAAAACTCAAACTTGCCAAGTCAATATAGTTTAAAAGCCATTTCACTGGACAAGTTGATGAACCTGTCTTTGAAACAGTAACATTGTTGCCTCTTCTATAAACATCGGTCTTTCCACATTTAATGTTCAATATGATATACGTGTCGTCAAATTTTATATTTGACATTCTTAAATAAGCAAGCTCACTGTACTGCAGAAAACCCGCAAAACACAATAACACCATTGCACAAATCTTGACATTGAATAGGTTTGAAAGATCTGCACCAAATTTCTTCACAATCTGCTGTAAATGTGCTACTGTTATAGGCTCTTTTTTATGCGCCCGGATCGAAGATCCGAGGCGTATATTGTTTTTGTCCTGTCTGTCTGTCTGTTTGTTTATCTGTTTGTCTGCAAACTTTAACCTTCGCTATAACTTTTGAACCATGAATGGTTGAGACTTCATATTTGGTATGCATACTCCACTAATTAAGTTCTTTCAAATGACACCAAGGTCAGTGACCTTGTGACCTTGACTATGACCTATATGCTAAAAATAGTTTTTTTTCTGCAAACTTTAACCTTCGCTATAACTTCTGAATAATAAAAGATAGAGACTTCATATTTGGTATGCATGCTCCATTAATTAAGCTCTTTCAAATGACATCAAGCTCAATGACCTTGTGACCTTGACTGTGTCCTATATGCTAAAAATAGCTTTTTTTGAACATTCACCATAACTTTTGAACAATGAAAGATAGAGACTTCATATTTGGTATGCCTACTCCACTAATTCAGTTCTTTCAAATGACACCAAGATCAGTGACCTTGTGACCTTGACTGTGACCTATATGCTAAAAATAGTTTTTTCTGCAAACTTTAGCCTTCGCTATAACTTTTGAATAATAAAAGATAGAGACTTCATATTTAGTATGAAAACTCCACTAATTAAGCTCTTTCAAATGACATCAAGGTCAATGATCTTGTGACCTTGACTGTGTCCTATATGCTACAAATAGCTTTTTTGAACATTCACCATAACTTTTGAACAATGAAAGATAAAGACTTCATATTTAGTATGCATACTCCACTAATTCAGTTCTTTCAAATGTCATCAAGGTGAATGACCTTGTGACCTTGACCCTGTCCTTTATGCTACAAATAGCTTTTTTGAACATTCACCATAACTTTTGAACAATGAAAGATAGAGACTTCATATTTAGTATGCATACTCCACTAATTCAGTTCTTTCAAATGACATCAAGGTCAATGACCTTGTGACCTTGACCCTGTCCTTTATGCTACAAATAGCTTTTTTGAACATTCACCATAACTTTTGAACAATGAAAGATAGAGACTTCATATTTAGTATGCATACTCCACTAATTCTGTTCTTTCAAATGTCATCAAGGTCAATGACCTTGTGACCTTGACTGTGTCCTATATGCTAAAAATAGCTTTTTTGAACATTCACCATAACTTTTGAACAATGAAAGATAGAGACTTCATATTTAGTATGCATACTCCACTAATTCAGTTCTTTCAAATGACACCAAGATCAGTGACCTTGTGACCTTGACTGTGACCTATATGCTAAAAATAGTTTTTTCTGCAAACTTTAACCTTCGCTATAACTTTTGAATAATAAAAGATAGAGACTTCATATTTAGTATGAAAACTCCACTAATTAAGCTCTTTCAAATGACATCAAGGTGAATGATCTTGTGACGTTGACTGTGTCCTATATGCTAAAAATAGCTTTTTTGAACATTCACCATAACTTTTGAACAATGAAAGATAGAGACTTCATATTTAGTATGCATACTCCACTAATTCAGTTCTTTCAAATGTCATCAAGGTCAATGACCTTGTGACCTTGACCCTGTCCTTTATGCTACAAATAGCTTTTTTGAACATTCACCATAACTTTTGAACAATGAAAGATAGAGACTTCATATTTAGTATGCATACTCCACTAATTCAGTTCTTTCAAATGACATCAAGGTCAATGACCTTGTGACCTTGACCCTGTCCTTTATGCTACAAATAGCTTTTTTGAACATTCACCATAACTTTTGAACAATGAAAGATAGAGACTTCATATTTAGTATGCATACTCCACTAATTCTGTTCTTTCAAATGTCATCAAGGTCAATGACCTTGTGACCTTGACTGTGTCCTATATGCTAAAAATAGCTTTTTTGAACATTCACCATAACTTTTGAACAATGAAAGATAGAGACTTCATATTTAGTATGCATACTCCACTAATTCAGTTCTTTCAAATGACACCAAGATCAGTGACCTTGTGACCTTGACTGTGACCTATATGCTAAAAATAGTTTTTTCTGCAAACTTTAACCTTCGCTATAACTTTTGAATAATAAAAGATAGAGACTTCATATTTAGTATGAAAACTCCACTAATTAAGCTCTTTCAAATGACATCAAGGTGAATGATCTTGTGACGTTGACTGTGTCCTATATGCTAAAAATAGCTTTTTTGAACATTCACCATAACTTTTGAACAATGAAAGATAGAGACTTCATATTTAGTATGCATACTCCACTAATTCAGTTCTTTCAAATGACATCAAGGTCAATGACCTTGTGACCTTGACCCTGTCCTTTATGCTACAAATAGCTTTTTTGAACATTCACCATAACTTTTGAACAATGAAAGATAGAGACTTCATATTTAGTATGCTTACTCCACTAATTCAGTTCTTTCAAATGTCATCAAGGTCAATGACCTTGTGACCTTGACTGTGTCCTATATGCTAAAAATAGCTTTTTTGAACATTCACCATAACTTTTGAACAATGAAAGATAGAGACTTCATATTTAGTATGCATACTCCACTAATTAAGTTCTTTCAAATGAC